CCCCCCCCCCCCCCCAAGAAAAAGGTACCCCGTATTTTCGGAAACCCCCATATATACATATATATATATATAATATATATATATATATGCAGTTTATATCAAAGCCAGTCCTTTGGTCCCCAGGACTTAGTAAGTAAGGTGATAAGTACCTGAAATGGGGTCATAAATAACTGTAAGTATCGTTTTCTTATTTATATCCCGAGCTACTAAGTCCCATGAACCTTAAAGCAGGGGTCAATTGCTGCGGGCGTATGGACATCTAGCCGTCAATGCAGTCGGATTTTGGGCATGGTGCGCAGACTATCCGCGAGTGCCATGGCCACAGAGAATGTGACAGACTTTGCGGCTGCCACAGTCACTGGCGCATGGACTTATAGTCTTTGCAGACCCATGGCTGGCTCGGCATCCAAAACGCAGGGTAAGCTGGCTCCTGTGACTGTCCTTCACGGCGTTTCTCGTCAAATCCATCTGAGTCTATGCCGTCTATGCCACATTCTCGTACCAGAAGGCAAGGAGGGCGAGAAAGCATCAGAGGATCCATTAAGTCTTATAGGCGACCCAATCGCGGAGCCAGTTACCGGCTCGCTGCACCTGCACCGCAACGAATAGCCCCGCCATGGTGGCCATCTGCCCAGACATCTCAAAGCTTGCCATCCCAACACAGGCGACCACAAAGGCCAGCAGAAGGAGCATCAGCAGCTCTGGGATCCGTCCCAAGTTCACCCGGAAGCGACCGATTTGCCAAACATTGCTCGGAGGACTTTCCTTCTGGGCCTCCTGGCTGTCGGCTGCCTGGCGCTTCCGCACTTTGCTCTCCGCGGCCATGGTGCTCCGCTTGCGGTAGTGACGGGATGGGGAGTTCTGGAAACTCCCTCTTTGGGAGTCTTTATGTCAAGGATCCTAGAAGGGGGCTTAGACTGGGGCAACAAGGGGTCTACAACAGCTTCAGGTCTTGCTGAGCAAGACGCCAGCAGGTCCACAAACTCTTGGGCATGTGCTTGAGCAATCAGCTACACGCACCTTGCTCCGGTACAACTGTGCTCTGCGTTCTCATGAGTCACACTCACAGAGCCTTCCAGGCATATATCACCTGCTCATGCTTGTCCAATTGACAGGGGAACCCGTACAGAAGCTTTGCAGCTTGTACTGAAAATGCTCAGACAGTCACGCAACTAGTTCAGCCGGGGTGTACAGGAGTCCAGACGACAATATCATGTAGCAAGACACGCTACTGCGACATGCTGCAAGGATCTACGGATCACGCGGGCAAACATGCTTTACTGGGCTCTTCATATAGCCACAGATGCAGTTGCATAGCTGGTGCATGCTGCATCACTGCGTCATGGGGACAATGCTCCATGGGGCCTAAGATCTTCTAAGAGGAGTACGAGTATCAGCAACCCTCCACAGCGGTTCGGAGCATGCATGGTCTTTTTTGACTGCACCAGAAGCCGTTGCCAGCCCGCACGTCTCTCAGAGCGTCGACAGCACGTCACGCAGCAGCCGGAGAGCCTGCCTTGATGCCCCAGACCCTATATAAACCCTACCTTAGGAACCCAAAACCTACTTTTTTGTAGGGTCCCTACAAATCCCATATTAGGGTTTATGATAAGAACCTACAAAAAAGTGGGTCTTGGGTTCTTAAGGTAAACCTATAAACCCGAAACCCTTAAGCCGCAATTCTTTATCGGGGTCCAGAGAACGACCAAGCTTCCGAAGGCAAGCCGGGCTCTGGAATTCCCAAGATCCAGGGTTCTACAGCGCTTAGGCTTACACATCGAACCAGGAACCCGCAACGTAGCACTTTGTACAGTAGAGGTATAACAGATGATGATGATGATGATGATGCTGGTGATGGTGATGATGATACCTCCCCTAAGCTCTAAACCCTAAACCCCTCTGGAAGACTGCACATCGAGATTCTCCGGAGATGGTAGCGGTTCCTCTGCGTCGAAGCTCCGAGGAGCCAGGGAAGCATTCCTTGGGTTCAGAGTTTAGGGTTCAGCGGGGTCCCTTCCTAGGATTCCTTAAAGGGATCTGTAGAGTTTTCTATAGGGTTTCTGTTGGGTTTTCTGTAGGGGTACTATCAGGGTAGTTCTCTAAATGAGGGTCCCATTTTGGGTCCCCCCCGAATAGTACCGCACTCTTATAAAAGGGACCCTAGCTAGAGAACTACACAACTGGCACACTCAGCCACCTGCTGGACGAACCATAAGGGTATGCCCAGCAATGCACGAAGCTCGGCGTAGACATCCTAGCCCAAAGACACCCCAACCCTGGATAATGCCCTTAACCTTTGAAACCAACCTTAACCCTAAACCCTAAACCTTAAACCCTGACCTCCAAACCCTAAACCCAAAAGGTTAAAGGTTACCTACTCAGCCCAACCTGAACCCTAAACCCTTACACAAGGCTTTGAAGGAACTCGAAGAAACCTTAAGATTGCCCCCTAAAATGTAGAACCCTGCTTACAGGAACTGTCAGGATCCCGAAGAATTTTGGACCCTTTGAGGGGACTCTAGGGTTTAGGGTTTAGGGTTCAGGATCTAGGGTCTAGGGTTCAGGATTTAGGGTTTAGGTTTCAGGATTTAGCGTTTAGGGTCCAGGGAGAACCCCATGCAAGGATCCCTTCAAACCGAGGCTCCATGACCCCTCGGCTGCCTCTCCCGCTGGCCCGGGAAGTGATGGAGTGCACAGCGCTCGCCTGGGATCGTGTTTGGTAATCACGTTTAGGGTTTAGGGTTTAGAGTTTAGGGTTTAGGGTTGAGGGTTTAGGGTTACCCTAAGGGTCCATGTACCCAAATATAGTACAGACTTTGGTCCCAAAGTACCTGTATAGGGACTATTTTAAGGCCAAAGTGTATACTACTTGGGCACATGGTCTCTTAGGGTTATCTAGACATTAGTATGTGGGAAAAGATGTTGATATGCATGTCAACACTGAGCATGGAATAGCAATGTTCACTATACTGTGATTGATCATTCTACATGACAATACCGTTTCGTACAGATATGCTTATAACTTATACATATACCAGTAGATGCATGCATACAGACAGACAGCCAAGCAGGCAGGCAGGTAGGCAGGCGGACAGGCAAATATATCCACCTATGTGCACATGCACACAGAAGCATACTATCATATACTACCACATGCATATATACATACATACCTTAAGGACTTACTTCTTCTTCTATGTTGCTTTAGGAGTTTAAGGGTGTAGGGTCCACTGCGTGTACTGGGTTCAGGGTCTTTGCCTGTAGCTGAGGGCTTGGAGAGGCTTCAGGGTGGTCTGGGCTTCAGCACTGGGCTTGTTTTCCTCGGAGCTGTTGGGGTTTAGGATGGATCCATGTCTTTCGAGGGCTGTACGTTTTGCACTTCGAGCTTCAGGACTTGGTGCGATTGAAGCTCGAGCACGTTCTGGTAACACGAGCTGAAGAGAATCTAGGTACCTTCGACGGAGCCCTCATGTAGCGCAGTCGTACTTGAGGCTCGGATTCTCTGAAGGTACATGTGCTCATGTAGTACGTACTCTGGCCTTGCTGTAAGCCCTGTACCGATACTTTATTGATAAAAACAAGTCTCTTACTGGAACATATGAACGCTAAACCCTAAACCCTATAAACCCTCAAGGAACCCCATACCCTGATCCTCCAATGCTAAGCGCGAGATCCGGGAACATGTCTGGCAGACAGGTTGCCAATAGCTGGGCGCCAGCTGAAGGGAGTCTGCGACGTTGGCCGACATGTCTTCCAAATCCTGCTATCTCTTTTTTGGGATATACCTGATGTAGTTTATGCTCTTATTTTTGCGGTATCTATATGTGGTATTTATTTTCAACATACAGTCTATCATATAAGCTATGTCATATGTTGTCCTAGGTACTGTTGTCTTTTATTTAATACAAAGCTCGTATCCTGTACGATATGCTATATACAGTCTGCTACACCCTACTTGCCATATACTATATACGACACATACCAAATAAACTATATGTCTAGACGCGAGTGAATATGATGAATGTCATGATGCTGGTAACGCACGCATGTGTTACTGTTACTACTGTAGGCGTTGTTGGTTACTATAAGCACCGTGTTGTTTTAACACCCTCAGTTATGCTTATAGCCAGTGATCCTTGTGTTTCTCAGCATAATTAGGAGGGCTGGTGATGGACCAAAACAGCGCCAGACTCGAAGCTGCAACGACGCTAAAATCAAAATCACACCCCCTGTGTTCTGGAAACAGGCACGGGCCATGAGGCTTTATTCATCTTCAACTGCGAAACGTGTCCATGGCAGAAGCAGCAGGGAGCCCCTGTGTTCCTCATTTCGTTGTTGCCCTTTTAGAGCAGAAACACCAAGAACAGCTTCAAGCAATCAACCCTATGCCAATCGTCATCGATACTAAAATACTGAAATTGTTGATCATAACACTTATACTTACCAGACATCATAACAAGAACAAATAGTAACAACCAGCAAAACACAAAACATTATAGTAATGTAGCCCCTCTGAGCTCCCTACGTATCGGAGACCCGACCCCATACAGCCAGGACTTTGCCTTAAGTGGCCATGTCCGGATACTTCTTCGGTATTTGAGAGGACCTCTTGTTTGGTACCTTTCCGGCAGGAGTCCCTAAACCCTGAACCCTGAACCCTAAACCCCTAACCCTAAACCGAAATATTCTTGTAAGTATTTAGACCCGAGGGTTCAGTTCCTTGACAAGCAAACTAGGAAACCCTTCAGCCATGGAGCCTTGAAAGAATAACTCACAAAGCAAAAACCCTGCAAAACCTGCACTGTTACACATACGAAAAACCCTTTAAACCTGCAAACAAAGAAAAACCTACAAAAAAGGCACTCGTCCGTCAACTCAGATCAAAAACCTATCAAGAACCTTACAGACATCATTAGCAAACAAATGAAGATCCCATGAAACCCGTTGAGACCCCATCAACAAACCTAACTAGTTTCGGGCTCCTTCCGCAGCGCTGCCTTCAGCGACTGTCGCACTAGTGCCAGCGCCGCCGCCCCAGGGGAGGACTGAGCCGATCTTCTTTAGGGGAGGGCCTACTGCTTTTCAATTTTCGTGTGCGGTACGAGGGTTGGGAAAGGTTGAGCTTACTTTTAACTTTTAAACTTCGCAGGGCTCAGGATTTGCAGTTTTAGGAGGGTTTGGCGGTTTATGGATTACATAGGACTTGACGGTTTGGACGGTCTGCTGTGGGTGTATCAGCTCCGTCCTAAATCCGCAAAGTCCAGGAGTTTAGACCTCTGATACACGTAGCCAGCTCAAATCCCTGGGCCACGCCCTAAACGCTGAAGGCCCGATATAGAGCACTCTCAATTCAACCCCATGTAACCCATAGAACCCTAGAAAACCTCATGAAAGAACCCTGATCCAGAATCCAGACCTTAAGCGCTAAACCCATACAGCGCTAATATAGGGGCCTCAATAATTAGAATAAGGTTTGGGGTATATTATGCTATAGTTATAATAAGGAACCCCCAAGCCCTATTCTAATTATTAAGGCCACTACATTAAAAGCCTCTTCCAGCTTTGGAAAGCGCTGTCGCCGCAGTGCCCTCGCCAAAGTTAGCAGCGCGAAGTCCAGTCTTTTTGCTCCACCTTGCTCATAATCGGAGGATCCCTTTAAAGGGTGCTGGGGTTCTAGGAATGCTTTAAAGAGTTTTGTATCATAGGGTTCTAGAACAGGGTTCCCTCATAGGGTTCTGTAACACGGTTCCCTTTTACAGGGTACTATAGGGTTGTAGGATCCCTCTAGACTCTAAAGGGTACTTTAGGGTTCTGTAATAGGATCCCTTAACAAGGGTGCTATCGGGCTCTGTAATGAATTCCCCTTTTAAGGGTACTGTAAGCTAATAGGGCTCTATGATAAGGTTCTGATTAAGGGCTGCAGAAAGTGTCTATGAGGGCGCTGCAAGTGCGACTGTAATGTTCTAGGACCTCAGGTTTTAAGGCAGTTGGCGGCTTTTGGGTTTTGGTTGGTTGAGGGTTTGGGGTTTAGGGGTTAGGGTTTAGGGGGTCTTGGGGGTGTTGGAGCTTTTGAAGGGTTGCGGCTAGGGCTTCAGGGTCTGGGTTTAGGGTTTGGTGCTTGAGAGGTTTATGCAAGTAGTCAGCAGACAATCCGAACGAGAGCGCAGCCAGGAGATTTACATGTGCAGGGTTGAGAGGTTTAGGGCTTAGGGGTTCAGGGTCTACTTTATACAGCGGATTTGGAGAAGTTCATCAACCGAGGTATGGGAGTTTGAAAGCTGACATGACTTGGAGCCTTCAGCTTTGGTTTATGCAGAGCCTTGGGTTTACAGTCGCTGCTTCTCTGCTACTCCGCTTCTGATCGCATTACACCACGACCAACAAGTCTGCCCACGGCTTCGTCTTTGACCTCAAAGCTTCTCACGCGAAGAGCCATGTTGTCTTCGCGCTGAACTACTGCTGCAGCCAATATGTCGTTGAATCTAGGTCGGAGTTGTCGTCCAAAAGGGAAACACAGGACCCCACACCTCGCAGTCGAAATTTTGAGGACGACACCGACTCGAAAGCCCAATGTTCCGAACCAAAGCCTGAACAGCAACAACAACAACAACAACAACAACAGCAACAGCAACAGCAACAGCAACAGCAACAGCAGCAACGGCAACGGCAACGGCAACGGCAACGGCAA